TAAAATATATAGATAGAAAAAATTTAAACAGTATATAAGCGGCTGACGGTGAAGTGTGAAAATTTAGGATCAATTTATTTAATTTTCATTATATTTTTCTCCCACTCTCTTCCTTTTATATTTTTTACCCAAGCCTAATTTTTCTCTCTTTTACTGTTTTTTAATGATGCGTTTTTTTTTGTTTTTCACCTCTTTTGCATGTGTTTGTTCTTCAAAGGGATTTTTAATTATAAGAAGGATTTTCTAAAAGAATAAGTAAACGAATAATAAAACAATAATGAAAATAGTAATGGTTTTGATCATGGTGGTGTCAGTGGCAGTAGTATAGTAATAGTAATATCACGGTCTTATATACTAACTTTAAAAGAAAGAATTTATAACTACCTTTTAATTTCATATGTGATATAAGTAATATACATTATATCATGTAATATGTAAGGTATGTAATTTATTCAATAATATGTGCATACATACAATAATATTATATATGACGACTTTTATAAGAATACGTATAATAATATATGTAGTAATATAGGACGAATATAATAATGTTATAAAAGGATTTTTTAGTATAAGGATAATGAGCAAATTTTTTTTAAATTTAAATTTGAAATTTATATGGGAAAATTTTATAACCACATGGTGAATCTGTAAGAATATAAGGTATGTTAAAACATTACAAGCCCCGAATTAGTGTTGCCAACTATTTCCCTTCTTAATTTATAATAACTTGTTGGAAAATTTAAGTTTATCTTCTTATTTAAGCTTACAATGCTTATAATAATGTAAAATTCGAACACAGTATCAATTACCAGTTATACTGCCAATATTTGTTACAATCAAGAGAAGATAATATTCATGTTAGTGTTGCAGAACAAGAAAACGGAACAAAGGAAAACAAGCTTAATAAAAATAATAATGCTACTTACAACGGGCTAAACATATTATTTGTGAGCCCAAAAATTTTCGAAAAAATTTCTTTTTCCCTCCAAAATACCCACAACATGGGTAGTTTTCCACGATTTGGCATCACTTGTTCATAGTTCTTTCAAAGTAATTACTTCTTAACTAAAATTTTATGTATTTTCAATTCCCTACACGGTGACATACTCTTTACAGGGTCACCCTGTTCACATATACTAATTGTATATATTATAACTCATAAATCTTGAAGTATATTTTTATAGCAAAAATAAATCTTGAGTCTTCAAATAATTATACATAAAAATATTAATATATACATACAGACGTACATAATCTTTTTATACTCAAGGAAGTCGAGTAAATTAACTAACGATTATTAAAATATTATTTTTCTCTTTTTTTTTGTTAATTTTTTGTTGTTGTTTTTGTATATGTGAAACGATTATACTTAAGACAATTATTAATATAAATTTGTATTAATAGTGTAAATTTCAATGTGTTATACAAAGATAAGAAGGATAATACAATAATGTAATAAAAAGGATATTTCTCATATTATTATTAAATAAGGTAAAAAAAAACAATAATAACAATAATAGTCTTTATTGTCATCAATTTATATTTCATATTATGTAGGTATGTATAAAGTGTATATAGGTACATGTAAAGGGTCTTCTTTCTTTAACGTAAATAATTATTATGGTAATTATGTGAAAACAAGAAGGAAGAAATAAATTTATGAATTTATTTTTAAATTTTTAAAAAAATTATTATTTTATTGTTGGTAAAAAAAATTTCTTTTTTAAATTATTAATAATATTATTTAAATATAAATTCTTAAAGAAAATATTGTACCACTCTTGAGAAAAATTTGCAATAAATAAAATTGACGAATATATGATTTATGTATATTGATTCTGTAAAATTAATGTACGGAATTCTAATATCATATTCCGAGTAGTTCTTAAAATATGTTGAGATTATTCTAAGCAAACGCAATTGCAGAGAAATTCCAACTGTAAATGCTTGTAAATGAAGTAAAATTGTAAAATTATACTATAGCTATACTATGATTATAAAAAATAATATAACTGATATGACTAAATTTATTCAATATTTGAATAATAAATTCAATTTTTAAATGGCCTTAAGATTTATTCTTATAATCAAAGCTATTATGGTTGTAAGTGATTTCATTCATTAATTAATGCTAAAGAATATGATTAGTTTCATTTGCTTAGAATTCGATTACAAATTAATATTAATGAGATTAAAATATTTTGAAGAAGAGCAATAATTTTAAAAATTTATTGGCATACCTAATAAAATTATCGTATATATAGAAAATATTTTAAAATTTTACCTATACAATTAAAAATTTTGAACCCAACGATTTTCTTACAAAAAAATTTAATGCGGATATTAGTTTAATTTACTGCTTATTTACACAAACTTTTTCTCCCATTTTTATTATTAAAATAATTACGTACTCATATATTTCTCTTCTTATAATAAAATATAATACAGGTTAAAGTTTGACCACTAGATCTTAATAATATTATTACGAGTATTATATTTCCACAAAAACCGCAAAAAAGAAAAATTTTCCATGATAATATTAAAAAATTATTGCTGAATCAATTTGTCAAATCATTTATCTCCTATTATGCCTGTTATGTCCTTACAGGATATTATAATTTAATGCCACTAAAGGAAAATAATTTTTTATACACATCATTTTTAAAAATCGAAATTTTGTTGACTCATTGATAACTTATTTTTTTTATATTATACTCGTATTTTTTTTAAATAAAAACCGGCGAAAAACGGGGCCATTTGTGTTTAATTTTTTATTTTTGTGAATCGCATAATATGACTAAATTTCTTCTATATTATATTTTGTATACCATTAAAGAACTTTTATATTCTATATAGGTACAGAGCGGTAATAAAAAATAACAGAAAAATATCCAACACCAAATTTCTGTACAGCTAGCCCACATAATTTACTTGTTACGTCGTTGCCGTTGTAGTCGTCATCATATACGGGACTTTTAATTTTTTTATTTTTTTCTGTTTTTTTGAATTTCTCATAAAAACATTTTGTAAGGATATTACAATCTTCATTAAGAGGATAATCGAAAAATTACAAGTCATAAATTTTTCTTTTATATTTTTTTATTATTAAAATGTATATTGGGAAATTTCAAAAGTATTTTTACTCTTATATTTTGTATAATTCACTTTTTTTCCCTTGGAATATTTTTTTTTTTTGTTTTTGCACAAAATTATTGTTTTTACTTGTTCGTCCATAATATAGAGATTTCACTGAGTCATGATTTTAAGAATATTATTGCCGTTTTATGTGATAGAATGCAAAATTCACTTGTTACAGAGGTGTATCAGAATTTTAATAAAATTATTATTAAAATTTAAAATTGCCGCAAATTAAAATATATTAAGCAATATAATAGAAGCCAGAGATATCCCGAAAAGTGCTACTTCTAGTTTTCTTTAAAAAATCTATAGTTTTCGTATTTTTTTTTTTTGTTATAATTTTTGGAAGATATTTTTGAGTATTTTGGTTCTGGTCGTTGTAAGATGACAAAACTAATAATATATCGCGGCAATGAATTCCTTTATAATTTTATTCTAAATAAAAATATAATAAGAATAACTAGCTAAATTTAAAATTATCTCAATATTGCATTATCAACGATTGGTGAACGCTCTATGTAATAATAAGTGCTTTAAAAATAACATCATAATTATAAAAACAGATAATTTTGAAAAGTTTTGCAAAAAAATCTTAACATTTTTAAAAAACAGAAAACCTTTTAAATAAATTCATAATGGTAAACACTTAAAGAAGCGAAAACTTAAACGGTTTGGTCACTTATTAGTATTACCAAACAATATTTATGCATTCTGATGAAGATTCGCATAAAAATATAATTTGTTCAATACTGATTTGCTACCCATAGTTTCAGTTCACTTCTCTGTATATAAAAATTCCCGACTACTTTTAACTTCGTATCACAGTTGTAATGTTGTCAAAAATTAATGTTTATTTTATGGAATTTTCAATTTAATTATCAAATATTTATGCACTGTAACTCTTTCGGAATACAATATAGGAAATTTAAAAATTTTGGCATCTTTCTTAAAATCTGTTTTTCTTTACAAGATAATTTAAAAAGGATAAAATTACCGAATTCAAATGATAGGCTTCCCTCATTTGGAGAGTGTAAGTGATTAAAATAGATGATAATAGGAGATATGTTTAAAATTTGTATTAAAAGAAACTTGATAATCATACATTAAAATTAGAGGGTAATTACACAGACAAAGGATAATTTCGTGCTATAAGAAAAACAGTATGTTGGTATGTGGGTAATTTCCCTGCGGTAGATTTCCTTTATGGGTAATTGCTCTAAGTGGATACATAATTTGAACGGGTAAGTATTCCAAGTCGATAATTACTCTCATAGATAGTCATTAAGATAATCTGCGTTCCTACGTTATATAACAAAAATGTAGTCATTTGGAAGCAGTCATAATTATTATAAAATACAATAATAATATAATTATTATAATAGTTCTATGATAACTTTTATAAAAAAAAGGAGTATTAAATTAATTTAAATTTTTAGTTTAAACAAGTCAGAAGTCAGAATTTTGATTTTAATTTACATTTTGATTTCTTTTTGGTAAGGCTACCAGAATCACATTTTGTCTCTTACAAAATCATTATTATCAGTCAAAATGTGTCTTTTAACACGAATTTCGTTATAGGGTACCTACGTTGTATATTTAATGATGATCATTGAAAAATTTTTTTTTAAATGAAAAAAATGGAAATATTTAACAATGAAATATTAAAATTGATAAAATACATACTAAAATTTTTTCGTAAATTTTTAAAATTTTTTAAAATTATTTTTAAATTCCGGTTTTATTTTTAAGAATCATACAATAATTTGAATTTTTTTCTTACATAACAAAAAATTTCTACAATATTTTTATTTTTTCTTGTCTTATTTTTCTTTAAATTTCCAATATGTATTCTAAAAATTTCACAATATTATTATTATATTTGAATTTAAATTTTGTTTTTCAAAAAATTTTTTTTAAAAATGAATTTTGAAAAAGAAATAAAAATTTTTTGATATTATTATTATTATTATTATTGTTATTGTAGAGGTGTAATCGCCGTTGTTAATATTAAAATTTTAGAGACATCGCAACATCAAAAAAGTGTGATTGAAGAAAGTTGGTAATTTTTAAACAGAAATCTAAAAACAAAAAATTTCATTATATATAGACGATACTATTTTGAGATAAACTCGTAGATTAAAAAAGATTTTTTTTTTTGTAAATTAAAAAAAAAAAAAATGCAATCTACGTGAAAAATAATAGAAGGATTGGGAATAATAATAAAATTAATCATAATAATTATCATCATTTCAAATATTCTACAGTATTGACCAAATTGTAATTAGAGTCATTTTATCATCAAAACATGATATATATGAGACTATTCTAATATGAAAGTGCTCAGTTCTCTCTATAATTAATTCGTATAATCGGATAAGTTTTAACTGATTAAAGTATCTGAAATTACAAATGAAAATTGCTCAAGAATTTTGAACAATATGCATTTCCCGCAACAATTTAAGCGAAAAATTTGAAAAGAAAATATATTTGGAATGCCCTGGAATACTATATTAAAAATTTTCAAATTTGGTCAATTAGGAAATTTCTGGAATACTATACATTATGCTTCCTAATATGTGTATAACAATAAGTCAGTAAGGCAAGAGCTATTACAAAATTCAAGGTACATTAAGTATTTCTGTATTCAACAGTGTACAACAAATTAAAGAAACAAATTCAACTATAAATAACTTTGACTTTAAATTTTAATATAACAAAATTAAAAATAAATATCGAAATATACAAATATCATCTCCTTCAAATCTTAAAGTATTAGATATCTTTACTGCTTACTCATATTACTTCTTATTTTGCACATTAATTATTAATTTTCTTGCAATAAACTTGCAAAAACGTACAAATATATTATTTTTCATATACACTTTTAATATGCACATATGTATATATATGCATATAATCATTTTGCAAATTCATCGGGATAAAATTTTTTCTATTCTAATTTTTTGTTTTGCTTTAGTCCCATAAAATTATGTATATTGTTTACGTAGTGAAAACATGATTATTATTACATAATATAACAACAATTCACTGTAATATTACAGTAACATTATATTTACAAGCGATAATAAGGGCAGGAGAGAAGAGAGAATTTCTTAAATAATATTGCAGAGAACGTAAAAAAAATGAAAATCTGATTTATAACACAATCGAATATTTTGTATACGTTTACGAGTCCGTACTTTAATTTGATTAATAATTTCATTCAAATTTTTATTAAAAATAATTTTTCCTCTAAACATTGGTATCTGCATATGTATACAAAAATATCAAAAATTGATTTATGTATTGATTTTCTTATATTACATAGATTGCAATTTCTCAAATACGTAAAATTTATTCGCTCCAATTTTACATTTTTACTCATATAAATTTTAATTTTAAAAGTTTATTATTTATAAATAAATTATAGAAGGTGTTATTGTGTTTGGTAAATTGTAATAGAATTAAGAAATGCCTAATTCCTAAAGAGCTACTCAAAATTATTAAAAATCTTTAAAATTTCGAAAGGAGCAAACAAAATTTGTGAAAATTTCTCAATATGTGAAATTTTTCAATATGTGAAAATTAGTTATTACTTATAGAATAAAATTTAGCGGGGTAAAACACTGATGGGATGGTGTTAATCACTCATTTAACTAAATTAAGATTTTTTCAAACTATTCCATAGAAAAAATTTTTCTAATCAAAATTTCTCCACATAATATAGGAACAATATAAATTATTATTCAACAAAAATTATAATATCAGAAAAGCAAAAAATTTTACGGAAAATTGGAAAAATTTGGGAAATATATGCAATTTTCAATTTGTTTGAGGTCAAAGTCGTAGCTATTCATTTATTAAATTATGAGCAAATCAATAAATGTTAAGGCCATCAAATAATAAATTATATTCAATTATTGAATGTAGAGATGACTAATAGATTTAAATAATTTCAAAGAGATTTTTGATAATAATAATAATTTCAATATATTAAGCGGGAATATGTATTTAGAGCGTATTTAACAAAATAACTTAAAATCATGAAAAATTTTTTAAAAATTAATATTAAATTTTTTTTTGTTTTTGCATTTTAATTTTCATATTGATTATAAAAATAGAATAAATTTTTTATTAAAATAACAATAAATAAATTTAAAATATATATTATAAAGGAACATAATGAAAGAAAAAAAGAATTCACTTACCTCTGATGATGTTAAATAGCATAATCTTGAATCAGTGCTATCAATTGATGCTTGCTGAACAATACCATAACGTGTTTCACGATCACTCAAATAATCTGAACGTAAACTATCTTGACGAACAAATTCAGCCCTAAAATATAATTAAAAACAATAAAAATAAATAATTTTTTTTTTCGATATTTTTATATGAAAATAATATTTCAGAAAGTGAAAAAAAAAAAATTTTTTTACAAACCTTTGTTCAAGGGAATCAGCACGAGCACTTTTATAACCAGAATCATTTAAGCTACTATCTTGTCTTAATGATGGTAATGAATCCCATGGTGAACGTTTATGACCACCACCACCACCACCCCCACCAGTATTTGATGATTGTGATGGTACTAAACCTTGACCAGAACCGGAACCAAGTGTTGAACTACCAGAACGCCAACCATCTGAATGACGGAACCATTGAGCACGAGCTGATTCACCAATACATGATGCACAACGTGAATTTGTAAAACTATTATATAAATATAAAAATTATATATTTTTTTTTTTAAATTATCATTCATTGAATTAAAATATTATTTAAATGAATTTTTTATTTTATTAATTAAAATTTAAATTAAAAATCATAAATACCTTGAATTGTGATCACTTAAATAGCCACGATCACGTTCTCTTTCACGTTCACGTTCACGACTTAATTCATTACGATCACTATAATAACCATCACGATCACGATCTCTATCACGTCCAGCTATTGGTCGATGTGGTGGTAATGGTAATGTTGATGATTTATTAGCTAAATTTTAAAATTAAAATAATAAAAATAATAATAGTAGAAAAAGAAAATTAATTGAAAAAAAAAAAAAATATTTTAATCAAATGGACAATAAATAAAGAAATAAATATTTAGTTTTTATCCCTTCAATTTTCTTATCTCATATAAAATAATAATATTGAACAATATATACTATTTTAAAATTATTTATAAATTTTAAAAAATATTTTTTATTATAATTATGATTTCTTATAAGAACGTAAAAAACAAAGCAAATTATTCAATAAAATAAAATTTTAGCAAGCATGATTCAATTATGATGTATGAGTTTCCAAAAATAGTCATTTAAAAATTTAAAATTGATAAATAAAAAAATTATTCTAATATTAAAATCTTTTTTGGAAAAATAAGGAAAAGTATTTTTTTATATTATTATTTGAAATTAACTATGGAATATAAAATTATTAGAATATTTAAATCAGAAATTGATTGTGGAACAAGATTCAATTGAACAAGATCAATGATATTTAGCCGAGTTATTAATAGTTTAAAATGGCAAACATTAACAAATTAGAATTTAAATTTTTGAATTTATAGTTGTCACTTACATCTATCATTTCAAATTTCCTAGTAGTAAATATATCAAAATGAATTTTACTGAAGCTTTTAGAATTTGAGTAATTATTTAGATAATATTGTGAATAAAAATTATTAATATAATTCTTAAACTACATTATAGATTTAAAATTTAATTGCTGCTTTTACAAAAATTTATTAAAATTTATAAAAATTTTTTCTTTTTTCAATTAATTGATGCCTTCATCTTTCGATTACCATCTGATTTAAATATTTTAATATGCAAATAGAAAAAATTTATTTCAATTCTGTAAGCACAAAAAAATTTTGTGTCAAAATCATTTCTATTATTTAATTTTTAAAATTTTATTTAAAAATTTTATAGCATTTTTATTTAATTTGAAAATTAAAAAATCTATTTAATACTCATTAAATTATTTAATATTGAAAAATTTATTTAATACTCAACTTAGCAAGAGATGACAAGAGAGAAATGAGTGAGAGAAATGAGAAAATTTACTTTACCACTCCATTTTTAATAATAATAATATTATGAATTCTCTTCTCTTGAATATTATTGTATATGCAAATACCTAAATTTAACTCAAAGTATTAAGTTACATATACATTTCTTTAATGTAACATTAAATTAATAATAAAATGACACTGTTACGATTTCTGTAATTTACAATTATTGTTAAGCATTGATTGGACAATAATACTATATAAAATTTGGTATATTAATAATTTTATTTTATTTAATTAATTAATTTATTTTAATTTAATTTTATTCTATTTAATTAATATTTCGATTAATAATATTCTTGAATTTTGAGTGAAACTCAGAAATTTCTTCTTATTAATAATTATTGCTTATTAACTAGCTCAAGTACGACATTATTGCTTATTTTAAGAGAATCCAAAACTGTACAAATAAAATGAGTACAAATGTTATAAATTTTTAATATTTAAAGTGAGTAATAATTTTTGGAATTTTTAGTCATCTTATTATTAATGTTTAAAAGTAATTATGATTGTACTACAGTTTTGCTAAAATTAATTATAAATTTTTAATATAACTTAAATTTTAAAGTAATTTCGCACAGTTATAGCAAATATTTTACTTTTAATTCCATAATATTGTTGCCAAATGAATTGAAATTAATTTTTCCTATTTAAACTGTTATAATAATAGCGGAATTGTAAAATACATGACAAAAAAACAATTTTTTAATGAGAAAACAAAAAAAAAAAAAAAATTGTTTGTTTATTTTGTTTTCAAGTTGCATTTAAAAAAAAATTTTTTTTACACACACACATAGATGCCAAATTTAAAGGAATTTTTAAGGATTTAAATATTTTTTTCTTTCTTTTTTAAAGGTTTTATTTTGAGAAAACAATTTTGCAAGGATAATAATATTGTGACATTTTTTTTTGTTTGTTTTTTTTTGATTAAATGGGCGATATTACTTACGTCTTCGCATTGGATAGGGACTACGTTGAGTTGATCCTGGCAAGCTTTCAGCTAATTCTGCGTTTACAATTTTTTTTTTTACGTTTTTTTTTTTTTTGTTTAATTTTGAAGATTTTTTTATGATTTTTTGTTTTGTATTGTTTTTGTTTTTATTTATTTTTGCATTTGCAATGTTATGAATTTTTTTTTTTAATTTTTTTGTTTTTGTTTTGTTTTTTTTTTGTTTATTTTTTTTGTTTGAATGAAATTGAAAATGAATATAATTATGATGAGTGCATAATAATAAATATAATAAAAAAAAAAAAAATAAATGATTCTAAACTACTTATTTTTAAAAATATTTTAAATATTTATATTAAAAAATTTTAGAATAGAAATTTTAATTGAGAATAATAGCATTGTTTATGTTAATTGAAAAGAGTAGATTAAAGAAAATGTAAAATTTTGTTTTTTTTTACAAATCAAAATAGAAATCAAAAGTTTTTAAAAGAAAATAAAATTTAATTTATTAATTAAGGTGAACTAGTTCATTACTTTCTATTTCAATTTTATTTTCTATTAAGAGATTGAAAAATATGGTTGAAAAACCAAATTTTAGAACAAATTTTAAATCTGAATATTTCTAATTTTGATTACACTTGATTTATTGGAATAAAGAATTTAATTATTCGAAAAAAAATCTTTATAATAATATTATCATATCATATTTTAACCCGAATAATTCTGAATATTTCTTAAAAATATCTGTTATACAAAAATTCTGTTATATTTCATATATTTTCTTCTATTATATTTTGTTAAAAACATTTATTTTTTTTAATTTTTAATTTTTAATTTAAAAATTATTTTACTTATAAACTTGCACAATATACAAAATATTATAAAACTGTTATACAAGTTTAACATAATACACCTATAAACTTTACATACTTAGTAATTAGAAATTATTTCCATTTCTTTTCTACTAAATAATATGTTCTGTCATTTGCATTATTATCAAATTTATATTTAGAATTATATTTACTAGAATAGTAATAATAAAATAATTCTCATTTTCATACAATTCGTCTCATAAAAATATAAGGATATTTTGAATGGGCAATTAATGAAAATAATATAATTTTGAGTAAAATATTTAAATTTTTTAATTTTTTAAAGCTGTAGTAGCGTAGTAGTGTCATCCGTAATTGAAAAATATTTTCTAATTATTTGCACCAATTTTATATAAAATTAGTGCAAATTTTATATAAAGTTTTATACATAAAATATCTCTGTTTTATATAAAATTCTATATCTGAATAAGAGAACTATACTCAAGTCTATTATGTTCTATTAATAAATATATGAAAAATCTTAAAATTCTAAATAGCTTATTAAGGAGCGTGCCTAACTAATACAATAAAAATATTGTCATTCAATTTTATTTATTAATAGGCTTATTATGTGCCTATAGTGAGTTATTTTGAAATAGCGGGTATAGTTAATCAGTTTTAGTTATTATGAGTGAAATTTTTCTCATGAAATTGAATATAATAAGACTATTCATTTGACTTTACTATAATTTTGCAAGGTTTGAAATAATTTTTTAATTAAATTCAGGATCTATTTAGATAACCTACAATATAAAATATGAATTATAAAAAAATTTAATAAAATTAAAAATATAACAAAATATTATTATGTCAGATTAATAGTTAGTATTCGGAATACATATTCTAAAAAAGTGTTCTTATGTATAATTATTAAATATGTTAATTAAATTTGTCATTATAAAACAATAATGGCTTAGATATCTTAGTTCTAAATTATATGAGATTACAGTTCTAATATAAAAATTTTATAATTTTTAAAAATTATTACATTTCATTTACGGACAAATTTCAGTTCTAGGTAAGTATTAAATCACTAACACCTTGTAAAATTTCCCTAACAAACTAATAATTTTAAGTTTACAATGAAAAGTTCACCAAAATTATTAAAATTTTCTAAATTATTTAAAAATAAAATTTTACTATTGTTTTTTTTTTAGAAAAACATAAAAAATATTAATAAGTATAGTTAATAATAGATGAAACACAATTAATTTACAATAGAGGAAATATTGCAAAAGACCACATCAACAAAACCTTAAATATTATGAAAATAAAAAGGAAATTTTAGAAAAAAAAAATCAAAAGGAATAAGTAAAAGCTTGAATTTTAGCTTAAGATTTAAAAAATTTTCTTTCTTACATTTTTAAGAGAGTTAAGTAATCAAAAATAACATTTTTTTTTTTTGCTTAACTTTAAAACTATTCAAAAAAAAATTCTAGCCTTATAATATAAAATTATGTTTCATTTACAATTGAATAAAAAAAAAAAAAATTAAGAATAAAAATGACCCTATATTTTTTGTTATAAAATAATAATGATGCACTCTTCCTCTTCATTCAATAACACAATAAAAAAAAAAAAAAATCGAATTTATTACCATAATGGTCATCCATTATTGATAATAAAAAAAAAATTTTTTTTTTCTATCAGCATACTCTTATAATATACACACCTAAATTTTCCATGCTTTGTGATAATAAAGCTTCAAATGTATGTAAACTGTATGATTCAGCATCCATTCCTTTAGCTAATGTATTACGTAAATGCATTTCATATTCCAATAATAGTCTTGATGTTGGACTACCAGGTGTTGGTGTTACATTCGGTTGATTACCATGATGTGAATGTGAATGACGTCCACCACTACCACCTCCTCCACCACCAGGACCAGAACCACCACCACCACCACCTGTACCACCACTTCCTACACCGGGACCACCGCCACCACTACCTTTTTGTCCATATGATTGATCCTGATCAGAATTACCATTACTTGAGCTTGGTGTTGTTGCATAACATTGATTATCAAACATTACATTATCAGATGGTGGTGATCCTTCAATACAACCACGTTCACGTTCTAATTCCAAATATAAATTACGTTGTTGTGGATATCCTCTACCAATTTCATGTGAAGATCTAAAAACAAAAAAAATAGTTTTTTTAAATTTTTTCTTATATTTATAAAAATTATGTATGTAGGTGTATACCTTGATCCTGAAAATCTTGATGTTTGATTTGATGACCTTCCTAATGTATTATTATTATTCATAATATGATGTACACCATGTGCATGTAAATATGGTGTACCTTGTATATTATTTATATTATTTCCAGTATTTGAATTAGCATTATAATAATTATAACGACGTCTACCCATTTCTGGTGATGTTACTGGACTTTCAGCGCTTGGCATTGCTTTTAATACACGTTTCATAGTACCACCGCTTGTCATTATATTAATACCACTGCCATCAATTGCCATATTTTCGGTACTTTTTGTTTTACGTCTTGTATTATTATTAATTATATTGTGATGCATGTCATGAATATCGCGTGTCTAAAACGACAATATAAAAATATATGTGGTGAATAAAATTAAAAAAACACAAAGCCATTGATAATTTTAGAATGGTCCGATATGTGAGAGTATTGGACTATATGAGGAAATATCAAATGAAAAATGTTAAAAAAGAAAAAAAATATAATCAATTAAGGAAAAAATTTACATTTTACATATTATACGGTTCCTTACACAAAAACTACAACAAAAATATGTTTTAATTACCTTTTTTTACATTTTTAAAGGGTGATGAAAATTGTACAATGGTTGACAAATCGGGGAAAGAAAATGTAGAAGTAAAGGCAAATATTACTGACTGAATTGACGAAAAAGTTGTATAGCAGAAATCAACTGAAGCAAAAATGAAAGAACAAAATAATATAGAAAGCGTAAAATTTAATCACGGAATCGGCTATTCTCTCTAATAAATTTTGATATTGTGATTTTTGTAAAACTCTGCATTATCCTGTACAATCTTTCTAAGATTTGTTTTTGCTGCAATAGAATTGACAATGAAGAAAGCAAATCGAATAGACGAATAACATCTTTAGATTTTTACATCTATATTTTCAAATATATTCCAAATATATTTTTATGCCAGGGTTTAAATGAAATCAACCCTCCAAAATAAATTGGATATAGTATTTTTTTTGGCAAACAAATATAGTTTCACAACGACAAACTTAAAATATAAACGAAGCAACGACAAACAGACCGACATGCTATATCCCTTACAAACCAAAAAGTTCTATATTGGTTAGAAGCAAAACAAAAATTAAAGCCGGCTGGAAAAGAAAATCTTGTTTTTCTTTTCTTTTTTTATTGTAAAGCGAAATAAAAGAACATGTAAAATCTTTTGATAAACAAGGATTAGTTACAGTGTATATCTAAATTAACAAAATTTTAATGAATTACGAAAAACCATGGAAGGTATAGTTCATACGACCCTGTGATACCCTGACACAACCCTGCAAGATATAGTTGGCACGGCGATATAATATGGAAAATGATAATGATAATTTCTTTAAACAGAGGCTATAAACTTCTAGAATGTGAGCAATGTTCCGGACTTTAAATTTAAGAGCTATTCTAAAAGTATATGAACAAATTTTCTGTATTATTTTGTTACAAAAAAGCTTTATATATTAAAGTACATTAGTAATAAAAGTAAGTTGACGACTCTGCATTAATGACCTATGTCATTGATTTCGCAAATATGCGATATTCTACTTGATGAATTAAAACAAAAATTATAGATTTTGAAATTATATTAAGGACCAAGTTTAAAAGAGCGACAGAAAAATCAACACCACTGACTTGTAAAACGTTGATTATTGCAATAAAATTGGGAACAAATAACTATCATTTACAAAATCGGGTCAAAATAAATTAATTCTACTGTAATCTGTATTAATGCACTCTCTTTTTAATCGTATTTTACATTCTTTGTACATTTATTGTACATTTTAATGAATTTGTTTAAAAAGTTAAAAATCAAAGGATTAAGGTTATAAACATATCGATTAAAATACCATTTAACTAACTTTTATATAAATGGAAAATTTAGAAGTGAAAGAGTTAAAAATAATCTTTAAATAAAGAGTAAAGAAAAACACTTTAAAGCAAATTCAATTATAAAAACGTTAATCATACATTAGGAACACATATATGTACATTTATAATTGAATGTATAACATATAGCAAGTGTATAACACAAGGTTACAATGGCACTATAAATAAATGGAATTTTAAATGTGACATCTTCAATAAACGAAAGGTAGGTACATTATATTAGGTGAATAACCTTTGACTTGTACAATAATTTGAATTTTTCTTTTTCTGCAAATATTTGAATATTTATTTTGTAAAAGTGAGCATGATACCTTAAAAAGGTTCAAATAATAATTAATGAAAATGATTGTGGCTAAAATTTGGTGTTCATAAATTGTTATTATTGGAATTAAAATGCTTCCTTGAATACAATGCCTGCTGAAATAACATCCAGAACAAGCCCTAGTTAAATGTCAATTTCATTTGTCCTAACTAAAATTCTAACTTAACAATCTGTCCTTACATCCTAAATAGTAATTTTACATTAACCATTTTAGCATTTCACTAACTAACCATTTCATCGTTGTAATCTTTTGTGCGTGTACCAGTTCCAGTTGTTTTCGTTGTTGATATTTGTGTTTGTTGAAGTGTACCACCTGCTTGTACAGCTTCAGATTTTGAAGTTTCTTCAGACCGTATTTGATTTGCCATTTCATCTTGACCAATTTGTGATCCAACATGATTTTGTGCTCCAACACCGCTTATTTGTGATGTTGCTGTCATTGTATTTGTTTCTTGAGATTTCGTTTGCCGTGATAGTGTATCTCCTAAAAAAATTCAAAATATTATCAAATATTTTTCAAAATTAATGAAAATTTATTTTTCATTTATGCCTTTTAAAATTTGATAAAAAATTTCAAATATTTTCGATTTAATTTTATTAAGTTAAAATATTGGCCTGCTCATTTTTTAATTTGTTTTTTTTAGCAATTTAATTATCTACTTAAATTTTTAGAATGAACGATTTATATAGATTAAATTTAAATTGTTTTTAGACTTAAGGTTATGTCTGGTTACTTAAATAATATTGTTCTTTACCATTCCAAGTTTCGATTGTAACAAAATGTTTCCTAATTCAGTCTATGATAATTTGAAGTATGGCTCAAACCCAAATGATTTTAATTGACAAAACTTTTTTATTTACTTGAACTCTACCGGCGAGTTCGATTTCAACTCAAATTTACATTCCGAACTATCTCTAATTGTTATTGCTCAAACAGCGCCGTCGATAAACTAAGAAAATCTTAGAACATACACTACTTCAAGTGTTAGAAATAATATTAGAGCTATGAGTGAATTCGCTTAGAGGAAACATAATTTAATATTTATTGAAAAAAATTGAATAAAAATAAGTTTGATTTCAACAAGAGGTCAGTATGTAAAGAGCTCGAATAAAACTTCATTAACTATTTCTTAAGTATACAATTATACCATATAAAATTTTTCCTTGTCCAAATGCGTATTCGAGACTTTTAACAAAATAATATTAAAACTTTATTTTGGGATTCTGTGATAATTATTAATTTATTTCTCATAATATTCATTGCATTCTAAATTATCCCCATATACAAATTTAATTTCCAATTATTTTTCGAAAATTTTCACAGAAATAATTTTAGTATCTTTCTTTAAAGCATTATCATACGTCCATCATACCCAAAATAAACAAAAAAAAAAAAAATAAAAAACTAAAACCATCAGAGTACAAAAATAAATAGGTATACGGTCAGTGACTGGTGCGGTAATTTTACGTCATTCAAAATTTTAATATAATTTCAACAGCAGCTGTCAAAAATATTTAAATATGGTTTGTGTCTAATCTAAATGATTCTTTGTTTTGTTAAATTTACATTGTAAAAAATTTTTACTTTGCAGTTTACAGACACAAAATACAGGTATATTCTATTGAAAATATGTTATTGTGTGTGTAAAAAAAAAATATTATTGGAATATCTGTGAAATGGAAGAGATGCAATTGGAACTTACAGTTGGAATATATTTGAAGTAGTAAAAAAAAATAAAAATTAAAAAGGAAAAACTTTTATAAACTTTTACGGGAATTAATTTTGTATGTCATTGTATATATTGTAATATGTGTAAATTACTTGTATAAATGTAGTAGAAAATTTTTTTTTCTAAAATTAAAGATTCTCTATTATATTTTTTTCATGTAGGTTGTAGCATATATGAAAAGACAAGGTATACAAACATATAGTACAATATAATAATAAAAACTTTCATTTATTATTACCCCAATTCTCTTGACATTTAGTTGGGGAAAAATATATACATACATTATTATACTTTATAATACATATAATATTGTATAACTAACGCTTTTTCATTGTAGGCATGTGTGATAATGATTTCGTATAACAAGAGAATTAATTTATTGATATACGTAAAAACAGGTACATATTATACATAATGTATGTATGTAACATAAAATTTGTATTTGTATTTATATTTATTTTAAACAAAACATGTTATTATACATATATAATATGTATAACACACTATTGTATATAACAATATAATATAAAATATATCAAACATATTTTTCTGTATACTATAATATTCGAATATTGTTATATATGAATATTTATGTACCTATATGTATATACAATATTTAATTGAGAAGAAAATGAGCACAGAATGATGCTGTTATTGAATACATAAAATTAATAATATTTAAAGTTTATATATACATGTATACCACATTTGAATATATACCTATTACTTATACACATATTAATATTGTTATACACAATATATACATGCAAAAAAAAAAGCAAAATATATAGGTAGAAACCTTATAAATATTTTAATAAATTTTTTATAATATATTATTGAAATTTTTAAACGGGGATAAGGCTATACATATGCCAAGTACATAATGAAATAAGTGAAAAAAAAAAAATTTAATTAGAATTTATTCTTCTTCTTTTTTGTTTTGTAAATTATGTATAATGAAAAATTTAATTTTTAATTTAGGTATATAAATATAAGAGTTTCTTCCATAAAATTTTCACTCCTCATATAACCATAAATTGGTCAAATGAAATCGGGAATTACATTTTAATAAATCATATTCGTATAATTTATTAAATTATTATTATTATTATTGATACCAAGAGCTTCCTATACAGAAAAAAAATTTACCTATTCCTTCTTTCTTAAAACTGAGCTTAATAGAGTCCATATAATGTATAACACTATTACAAAATCTTACATATACCCTTTAACTTTCAAATTGTAGTGATAACACTACCAACTTCAGTTTCTACTACTATTAACATCTATTGGAATAAGCTAAAATTTATTACTAACTATGAAATATTAATTATTATTAACAAAACATTACAGTAATTTTACAACAATACTTAATTAAAATCTTATATTAATTGTTTTGCTGCTTAATTGTTATACAGTTCAGAAATTAAAATTTATAAGTCGAATTTTAAACTAAATTCTAAATAATTATATTGAACTCTATATAATATATATTTAACGTATGTATACCCCTATACAATTCAGAAATTTTAGGATATTTATAAGCTGAATTCTGAATTTTGTGTATTATTGTATACAAGTATTACTGGAATTTTGAAATTAGGATACTTTAAAAATTTTCATTTTTACAATTACAATTTATATAGACGATTTAAATTAAATAATAAATTGTATGTATATATAATGAAAAATTAAAAATATATATATTGATGTGTATGTACATGTTATATTAAAATGTCCTTGGGATAAAATGTTGTATAGTTAAGCTCAAAATTTTTAAGTAATAACTACAACCGCGTACACAATATAATTTTATATTATATATTATAACGTATGTATATGTGTGCATGAAAATATTCGTGTGTATACATAAAAACACAAAAAAAAAAAAAAATAAGAGATGAAAATTTTTATGCTCTAGATTTGAACTAATTTTTCAAAAAAAAAAAAAAAATTAAAATGAAATTTAAAAAAAAAAAACTAAAGGACGAAAAAATTATTCTGGTTTTTTTTTCTGTTTTTTTTTTCTTCGTTCTTCCCTTAAATGAATGCAAGTTGTGTTTTCTGTATTCAAAAAAAAAAAAACAAATAATGTCAAAGGTGAACTCGTCGTGTTATTTTTTGCTTCTTCTCTTCTTCTTTTTTTTTCTGTTTTTGAAGGAAAAATTTTCTTTTTTTTTCTGTTTTTTTTTTTTTTTGTTTTTTCTTAACTAGGTTAGGTACTTCTATAATAATGGTATAGAAATCATTTATAGGTCAAAAGTTTTATGGGATTTTTTTTTTTGCTTTTTCTGTTTGCTTTTTATTTTGTTATTGTTTTTCTTTTTTATTTTATTTCATGTGCAATCTATAAGTTGTCCTTCTCAATTTATTCTCTATTTTTTCTTTTTTTTTTGGTTTTGTATCCTGACACAGAAAAAAAATAACAAAAACTTGAATAAATCTTTTATGTTATATACTAAAATTATATACTAGTATAACATTTAAGTATATAGTAAATAAATTTTATATAAATTTTATGTACATTTTATGATTTATAAAATATTCAACTTATATTATTTATAAATAATATATTAAGGATATTTTCGTGTATATGATGTACGTAACATAGCAAAATTAAATATTTTAATAGTTTAGTGAATAAGAAAAGAGTCAATGAAAATGATTTTGTTAAAAAAATAGAGAAGAAGAAGGTAAAAAGTAAAACAAAATTTGATTTTAATCAAAAGTCTTCATATTTAAATTAACTTGAAATTTAGAAAAAATATTAAAAATACATTGTTGTTGCTTTTTTTTATTTCCTATTATTTTAAGGATTTTTCCAAATTGCTATAAAATTCCCGAGAAAGAAATTTGAGAAGAGTAAAATTAATTTCATTGCAATTTCTCTTGAATATCCTTTAATATATCTTCATATTTTCATGTATATAATAATGTACATATATACTAATATGTATATATATAAATATTTTAGAAATTTTTTAGGACAAACAAGAGCAACACTAAAATAAACACAAATCTTTTTCCCTTATTCAATTCCAATCCAATTTTTTGCTTTTTTCATAATATTTTTTAGGAATCCCCGGCACACTTTCTGAGTTAATGCAGGGACTAGACTGCATGTAAGGGGAGGTACTGAGAAAGTACGTGCTCACTATATTGTGAAGCTACGGTCTACCGGCTCTTTAAAGTTGCTCGAACTCATCAAAAGGGTGAGTCATGAGAAAGTGTTGTAGGGCTTTGTTTCACACCTAGTTGGGGGGGACAATAGATCTAAATTTCCGGTCGCAGTGCACTATTACCCCTTCTTTGCAATCTACAATCTACAATTTACATATTGTTTATAATATACTTATACTAGGAGGTGATAACCATATTTTATGTTATAATATCCATAAATATAATTTGAATTACTTGCATTAAAATGAAATTATGTAATTATAAACTTACGATTTAATGGAAATGATTTATTAGTTTTTATTATAATACCAAATCAGTCGACCATACCATTTCATTATATTTACAATAGTAGATCAATTTAAAATCGAATTATCGATTTTCAAAATTGATCAAAAATTTGATTTAAAAAAAATCAAGGATTATTAACTATATCCAATGAATAAGAAGATACAGCTATAATCGTTTTCAAATACGTAGAATAACAGAATAAGAGCTGCAGAGCCAGAGCCAATCGCAAACAATTTTTATCAAATTTTTTTTTTTCTTTCTTTCTTAATTATTTTTTTTAAGGTATTTTCTTTTTTTTTTTCTTGAATTTTTTTTTTTTATTTTTCTTTTCTATTATTTTTTTAATACCTTGTCCAGTTGATTGCATTGGCTGAGTACTACCAGCAACATTATCATATAATGATGTGCTGGATGTAGCTGTTGCTACTTTTTGTCCATCTGTATCTGTAGCTCTACTTGTTGTCCTTGGTAATGTTGAAGAACCTAAATATTTAGTAAATAAGAATTAGTTAAAGAATATTAGTAAAATTAATAGGAAATTGTATTTATCGATTATAATTGGAAAATTTAATTATAATATTTTTAATTTTTAATTATAATAGAGCTATATACTATATGTGTTATATTTAGAACAAAAAAAGTTGTATAATGTTATATAGCATGATAGTATGTTTGTCTTCAATATATTGTAAACTATAATGATAACAATATGAATAAGAGTATAAATTAAGTACTTGGATAAGCAGCAATAAGTTTGAAATACTCTTAAAGATTGTGTTACAATTATAATTTTCAAATTACGAATATTATTTAAGAGAAAATTCCCTCTAATAGACTCTTAAATTTAAAATTTTTATTAATTTAAAAGTTTAACCAAATAATAATTTTTTAATATTTTAAAAAACTTATTAAAAAAAATAGGTTTTGAACAGGAAATTTACATTTGTCTAAAACCCCTAAAAGTATGCAAATTTTTTTTCAAAATTTAAATATTTTGTTTACCAAATTTTAGGAAAAAAATTATAAAAAAGAACTCGGTAATAAAACACAATCTAATTTTAAATTCAAATAACAGATTAAATTTAAAATAATTATAATTTTTTTGATTTTTTTCCATTTTATTTTTATAGTTTTACCTCTGTAACGTGGATCCTGTGCCCTTAGCCGTGCGTATTGTTCAGCTGTCATACATGTGCATTGTGGTTCACGTGCTCTTGATGGGCTAGCCGGTGTACTAAGTGGCTTTCTTTTTGCTTTTATTTTACCTTTACCAGGTGGATCCAATTTCAATGAATAACTTGATGAGGCCTTTCGTGAAAATTTGAAAGAAGGCGACTGTAAAACGTCGCACTATCATTAGGTTAGTTGGTTGGGAATCACAAGGTTTTTCTGATTGTGCGGTTTTATTCTGATTTTGTTTTTTTTTTTTCATATTTTTTTTTTTAAATTTAATTTTGTATTTTTTTTTTTGCATATTTTTTTTTTTTTTTTTTCATTTAGTATAATTAAAACATAAAATAATTAATGATAAATTGATAATAAACAAAAAAAAAAAGGAAAAATTTTTTAATAAAAAAAAAAACGAAAAATTAGAGTAAAATTAAATAAGAAACAGGAAGACATTATTGTTTTTTTCTTTTTTAATATTCACGACACATAGAATACATACACAGAGAAAAATTTTTACAGCAAAAAAAAAAATTATATTAAAATTTTCCAAATTTTAATTTAAATTTGAATTTTATTGTATTGTGATTAATAAAAGAAAAAATTTAAAAATTAATTTAAGTTTGTAAATGGGAAATATTAGAAGGGGGGTGGAGGGACGAGGGGCTCAAGAGACATAGAATAATTAAAAATATATTTGTATAATTTATAATAAGGAAATATGCATAATAAATATCTAGTAAAAAAATTGAATTTCCCATTAAGTAATATTATGATAAAGGGAGTAAGTAAGTAAGTAAGTAAGTAAGTAAATAACTATAACATTTTAAGATATTTTCATTTCTTAAAAATTTTAATTTTTTATTAAGGCGTTTATAAATATTTTGTTAAGGATTTTTAATTGAAGGAAGGGGAGATTTTTTAAAATCTATATAAAATAATAACTATAGTATACAGATTTTTTATTTTATTTTAATATTTATACGAGTATATTGAAAAATTTCGCATACAAGTACATTTTATATTAATTTTCTTTGTTTTGAAAAAAATTCACTTATACACAAAAATATTGTAGAATATAAAAAAAAATTTTTTCAAAATTTTTTCTATTTAGAAAAGAAATTTATATTAATTTTTTATCACATCAGTAATCAAGTAATATTTTTAATTGTAGATTGGGCAAATGGGTATATTTGATGGTATAATATATACTATTTTTAACAGAAATATACCGCCTATATAATAAACGTAATTTCAAAAAAAAAAATAAATTAATAATAATTGTAATAAAGTCTTTTTTTATTTAAACAATTCAATTGTGTAATTTCAATAAAATTTGAAAAAAAACAAACCTAAATTAATCACATAAAAATGATAATTGTGACGTGATAATTTATACAATTAAATAAATAAAAAAATTCAAATTGAAAAAACAAAATATAATATTAAAATAAATTTTTCGAAATTATTTTCTTTTATACAAAATTAAAAATGTTTGGTAACACCAATAATTTATAATTATTATACAAAAATATTTAACAAGCTTTAAAAGCAACAAAAGACATTAAAAACATCGAATATATCATAATTTGTAAATTTTTTAAATATTTATTTAATTTTATTATTTAAAAAAAAAAATATTAAACTAAAAATTATATTTTTTTTAATTTAAAAAATTTTCTTTCTTTTTTGTTTTACTAAAAAAATTTCTTTAAACACCAAATATTACAACAATAAATTTTTAATTAAATTTAATTTTTTTTTAATTTTTGATAAATGGTTTATTTTTTTTCGGATTATATTATAAACTAATATCAAAAATAAAAAATACACAAGAAAAAAATTCTAAAAGAAATTAAGAAAATTATAAATTTTCTCAAAAGAAACAGAAAAGGACAAATTATTATATTAGTAATGTTGTATATAATTGGTTTCATTTTATTTGTTTCTTATTTTCTTTTTAATCATTATTTTCTTAAAAACAAAATATCAGAATTATTTTGGATTTTACATAAAAAAAACCTTAGTCTTAGAAATATTTTTTTTAAGGAAAAATCATGTATAAAGTGTCTAAATATCATTAATATTCACTTATTTTTAATAAATTAATAGAAACTGAAAATTTCAAGAATTTATTTAAGAATTGTTCGCTCATAATAAAATAATTGAAATAATTTTAATAAAAATTCAAAAAATTTTCATATTATTTTCAAAAAGGCTACCACAAGTAGCGAAAATTTACTACTACTAAGCTGTAATTCAACAATAATTTACGTTTACAGGTCAGCAATTACAGTAATAATTTTTTAGTTCAATTACAGCAATAGTTCAATGAGTCGTGGCTAAAACTACTTTGGTTATAATAGAGGATTACAATGGCTGTGAAAATATATTATTTTCAATTTTAAATAAAAGCTATAAATTTTAACACGGTTACGGTAAAACGTTACGGTTTTTATTATATTGAAAAACATCTCCCCTTTTATAGTTTTTTCAATATTTTTTAAATTGATAAATTTTTTAAATTTTTCAATAATAAATAATTTTTCATAATATTTATAATGATGATCATGTACTTAATATTGTGACGGTCATAATTAAAATTATAGTTACATCACTGAGCATAACAGTACACAGATTCAGAGATCGAGAGAGAGAGAGTATAAAGAACAAAAATATCATGTAAATATATACATAATTATGTTCATAATTATTATAATACGGATCACCAATATTAGATAATTTTTACATAAATAGAGTATAAATAGAGCGAGACATTATTCAATATTATTACATAGTTATTATATAAAAAGTAGATGATATTTATGAGAGAATATTCCTAGATCTATCATGAGAGAACAAAATTCATATAGCATTAACTATATATCAATAACATTATTATTTAAGAATTCTCTCTCAATTAAATTTAAATATCATTATAGAGAACAAGACACGTTTTTTATACATGTGAGTTTTTTTTTTTTTTTAAAAAATAAAAAAATTGGGAAATTTATAATAGAAGACTTCAGGTTTTTTTAATATGGGATTTTTTGGAATAAGGAAAAGTTATATTAGTACACATTTAGTGAAAAAGGTGTAGGAAATTTATAGGTGTATAAAATTTCTTAAATAATTTTTTATTTTTTTGTTTTTTTAAATATGGGAAATAGAGAAAAGGATTTTTAGCGTGCGATTGTTTGTTACAGTCATAATTAATAAAAAAAATATCTGAATTTTATACATATAATACATAACTCTTATACAAACATATACTACATATGACAAGACCAATATTAAACAATTTTATAATAATTAAATACAACAATTTAAAAAAAAAAAATTTTTATTTAATTACAATTCAAGCAAATTTCACCAATTTTATTTGTATACGTTTGTTAAATATGTATACGTAATTATGTATAAAATTAGATAATAAAAATTAAAAAAATTCATTATTTTTTTTTTTCTTTCTTTATTTAAATTTTTTTTTTATAAAAAATTAATATTTTTCTTTAATAAAAAAAAAAAGAAAACAATTTTAAATATTACAATTATTTATTTTAATTTTTACATTTAAAATAAAAAAATTACGTGATATGAAAATTTTAAATACTCATTTGAATTTTGTTGTAAATTTTGTACAATATTAATGACAAAATGATATAGGAATTGATATATAATGGGAATGTTTGTGATATTAATGATTATAGACAATGATTATTATGATGAAAATTATATTATTTAGGAGATATTTTGAATGAAAGAATATAAATGAAAACTTAATTCTCGTAAAATTTCAATTAACCCTTTTGTGATTTTTTGCATTAGATAATATAAAATTTTGCATAAAAATTGTTATCAAAATTTTTAAATATTAAAATTATTATATATTTTAAAAATTTTGAATAAGTAGTAGTTAATATTAATTTAATAATTTAGTTTAAGTTTAAGAAATGTGCGCTGTAAAGCCCATATTTTAGAAATTTTTAATTAGAATATTAAATACCAAAAGATATTAGCATTTTAATCAGAATATCAGCATAAATTTTGAAAATCTTACATTTTTAGTTTTAGTAATTGATTCAATTTGAATATTATGTTATAGTATACCACACAAGGGTTAATAAAATTTATTATCCTAAAATTTTCAACTATATACTTAAAAAAATTTCATACCATTTAATCAAAAAGCAAAATATTCTAAATAAAACTTATAGCAAAAAAAAATTGTGCATGCTAAATTTTTTAGGAAAAACCCAACAAAAATATATAATTTAAATTTAATTAATTTTAATTATTTTTATATATTATAAAAAATATCCTTTTCCTTTAAATACCAACAAGTTCTTCTAAATATTTATTCAAAAATATTATCAATAGAGATAAAAAAAACGTGAGAGAGAAAGAGTTTTTGGCCTGCATTTCCAATTTATTCTAATTTCATTAAATCAAATTCAATGTTATATGGCCACCGTTGCTATTTTTAGTCAAAACTCAAGACTATATATCGAATGTGGAAAATAGAAATAATAACATAGCTTAATTCAAGAAAAGACTATTACTCTGAATAAAAAAATTCTCTTTAACCCTGATTAAGGGTTATGTAAGGGTATTTTTTTCAACTGAACATTAAATTTGGTATTTAATGAATTTTAAACAATTAATTAATTGTTAATTTCAGCTTTAAAGAAATATATTAATAATTAATATTAATATTGAAGAAATGATTCATTAGTTGCAAGATTTAATTAGTTGCAAGAAAATATTTCTATTTTAAATAAAAAATTTCATTTTTTTTTTTAGAAATTTAAAAAATCTTTTGTAGATCTACAATAACAATTGTATACAAAGCGCACAGTGATCGTGCTGTAACATAGAAAAAATAAACCATACAGCTTGTATATGTGAATTATTTAAATAAAATAATTGTTAGTTTAAAATTGATAAGTTACAATCATGTTATTTTAAAATTAAATATTTCGATCTTGTAAAAATATAAATCAACATTTTATAGCCGCTACACATTTTCTCACAATAAAATATTAATTAATCGTATAACACAATATTATACCTATTTACATAACTATTGTGTAAATTTAACTAAATTGTGAGGAACCTATAATTATAATATTCCTTGTATATTAAAATTTTAAGTGTATTATACAATA